TGGATGTCCCTCAAGCTGCTGGCCCTGCTGGCCCTGGCGCTGCTCCTCTCCTGCCTGGCCCTGCTCAACTTCTCCCTGGGCTTCCTGCTGGGTGCCACCCTCGTGCCACCCGCGGCCGCCGTCAGGCCCGGGGGCAGCAGGTGAGTGGGGACAGCGTGGGGACAGCGTGGGGACAGCTGGGGACAGCTGGGGACAACGTGGGGACAGTGCAGGGACAGCACGGGAACAGTGCAGGGACAGCTGGGGACAGCACAGGGACAGTGGGGGACAGCGGGGGACAGGTGAGCATGGGGACAGGCTGGGGATACCTTGGGGACAGGTCAGCCACAGGGAGAGTTTGGGGACAGCCTGGGGACAGGTGAGAGCCCCTGGGGACACCCTGAGGACACCCTAGAGACCGGTGAGACATGGGGGCACCCTGGGGACAGCTGGGGACAGCCTGGGGACCGGTGACACCTCAGGGGGGGCAGGTGAGAGCCCTTGGACACAGGTGAGGATGAGGCCCTGAGGGTCCCTGGGTGTCCCTGAGGGTCCCTGGGGGGCTCTGGGTGTCCCCAGATGGTCCCTGGCCACCCTGGGCTGCCCCTGGCCGTTCTCCTGGTGCTGACCACGCTGGGGCTGTCGCTGTTCCTGGGGGGCTCTGGGTGGTTCCTGGGTGGTTCCTGGGGTCTCTGGGTGGTTCCCGGGGGTCTCTGGGTGGTTCCTGGGGTCTCTAGGTGGTTCCTGGGTGGTCCCAGGGGTCTCTGGGTGGTTCCTGAGTGGTTCCTGGGGGTCTCAGGGTCTCTGGGTGGTTCCTGGGTGGTTCCTGGGGTGTCTGGGTGGTTCCCGGGGGTCTCTGGGTGGTTCCTGGGGGTCTCTGGGTGGTTCCTGGGTGGTCCCAGGGGTCTCAGGGTCTCTGGGTGGTTCCTGGGTGGTTCCTGGGTTGTTCCCAGGGGTCTCTAAGCCCCGTGCCCCCCCAGGCTGCCCCTGGCCGTTCTCCTGGTGCTGACCACGCCGGGGCTGTCGCTGTTCCTGGCCGTGCTGCTGGAGCGGGAGCTGCTGGAGGCGCCGGCGGGGCTGGGCGAGGCCTGGCAGCGCTTCCTGGGGGCGCTGGGCCAGGGGCTGCTGCAGGAGCACCTGCACGGGGCACACCTGAGCCCCCTGCTCTGCCTGGGCGCCTACCCCTGCTGGCTGCTGCTCTGGAACGTGCTCTTCTGGAAGTGAGGGACACACGGACACGGGACGGACACACGGAC